TTCTTTCAGTCAGGATATCAATGGCCTCTCAAATCCCTCGTTTCTCCTATTTTTACCATATGCAGCCAGCCTCTATTTCGATATCCATTCGATTTCGTGTCCCTTCCGTGCAATGTGTTCCGTTTTTTCGGATCTTTCCGTATCCATATTTCCGCAGGTTCTTTGATATCCCTTGATTCGTAGACTGATTTTTCTTCCTGTTTACCTATATATTTTTGGTCACATTTGCCACATTTTATACGATAGATTCCATACACACACAGTCTTGTTTCCAAAAAGGTATTCTTCTCTATGATGGACTGAAATTTTGATATCACCTATCTCTTATCAGCTGTCCCAATGGGACTCGAACCCTGGTAATGTAACGTATAATCTTCAAACGTTTTTGGGTTACAATAGAAAAGTGAATTTTAAGGAAGGCTAATCCCTTCTCATATCACAATTCCCTGGTGGGACTGTCGATCTATCAATGTTGTATTTGTTGTGACAATCGACTGTATTAATTTTTTTTCGTATACTATTTAGGTTTTTCAGACCCAAGGGTACTTGTAGTAGTGTTGCGTAGTCGTTAAAATATCAAGATCATAGGCTACATTAACAGAGTTCGAGTTCCTCCGGGGATGTTGATGAGACCTTGGCGACGTCAAAATTGCCGTCCTTCTTTTAGGGAATAAAGGCTATTTTTATCTCATATTTGTTAAGCTTCTTTCTGACGATTTTTTAGATGTTAAAAGAATTTTAATTACAAATTAATCATGATATGCTTCACTCATGGTCATAATGATAAAATAGTATATTAGTTGTTAAGAATCTTCCTACATATATTGGTAAGACAAGACAAAATAACTCCAAATTGGATACATCAAATGTTCGATTTTTTGGTGTCCACCGATCTTTTATATCCATTGTATTCCCCTACAATCATATAATTTTCTTCCAAATACTAATTCGTCCTTGCTAAATTACATTATTTAAATTAACCACATTAATACATCTTTGGTGCCTCATACTTTCTGTTAGAAACGCTTGGTCAAATGATACACCTAGCCCGGCTAACTTCACTACCACAGGTCGTTCATCCTCTGGTTCGGGCCAACCCTTCGGTAGACTCCAGCCAATTTGTGAGAATCAGGGGGTTCGCGTAGGCCTCGTTTCATCATGGCCACCTGCTACAGGTATAAATTGTTGAATACATTTAGATATATCTTGAACGACTCATAGTCACCATGTAAGCTGGCATAAGGACTGGTAGTTAAATTTCACAAAGGCTTCATGATACCATTGCATTTTTCCCAGCATAGGTTTCTCTAACGCCATAAAACGATCCGAAACCTGATAATGAACGTCAATTAATGACACATTACCACTTCCCCTTGCATTACAATAGACGAAGTCACTTACATCCATGCTAAGTCATTTTCAAGTTCATCATTGTCGATCTTGAATTAGAAGTGTTATTTCAAGTAAATCTTGATTACATGTTGAGGCTTTTCATTATTTTCATTTTGAAATACAACTATGAATCATTATTCTACATTAAACTCTTGGCCGACTCGAATTCCTATTCCTGATATACAAACCCTTCCAGGCTAACTTGATATATGGTTCAACAAGACCAGTTTATAACGATAGAACTAAATGTGTTGGCTGATCACAATTAAATTAATAAATCCCATCCTTTGTAATTGTTTACTTAATTTTATCCAATTGTAAACTAAGCCTATTTCGATTTTCCATGTGTCTCGAGACAAAGTTTTAAAAATGCGTTCGTTTACTACAAATCTTTTATTTCGATATGGGAAAGTGGAGGTTTATATAAATATGGTTATCTTGCAAGATACTAGTATTTTTCTTAAATATTTCTGAAAAGGCTAAATCTAAGGATCTAAAAGGAGCATATCTATCTTCACCCAGTTGCTTTTTTATTTTCAGTCGAACCATGCCCCGGGGCTTCCTCTCTGTCGACACCGAGATCTCGTCAAAATCGGGGGGCCAGAGGTTCCGGAAGCGGCACACCTCGTCGCTGTAGCCGCTGCGGCGAGCCTGGACATACACGCAACAGGTGTCCTCAAGCAAATGACACGCGATTAGACTGAACATTTCACCTTATTACCTTCGCCCAATAGATATTCCCTCTTGACTGGCCTATATGATCTCTTAAGTTGATTTAATCAAAATGTCTAAATCGCACACATTGGCTGACAGTAAAGCATTGAAATTTGGAGATTCCTATTAGACATCTTATTATTTGTTCCATCCTTTTTTAACCCATCTATAAGTTGTCTCAAAAGTGAAAATATTAATCTACCACTCTTGTCTCTTGTGAAAACCTAAACTGATAGCAGTTATTAATTTTGCCCTAGATTACGGTGGAAGCTTTGCTATTACATTTTATTCTATCAAGCAATCGTTATGCTATGATTTGGCATATTTTTTACGTTCTTTTGCATATATATATATATTTGCTGTAAATATCTATAACCTAATTGCGAAAGGACTTCTGGCACAGCATAGCTTGAGTTCTCTGAATCGTGTTTTACGATATTCGAGCAAATTGTATTATTTTTTTCATCTTGTAAGTTATATAATAAAATTATTGTTTCACATTGTAGATCATCACGTCTTGTTTTTTAAGCTGCACCTACCTAAATGATATATAGGCGCATACATATAATCCATTTCTCAAGCTACACGTATTTTCCCTAGATTAAATCTATTTTGTCTATAACATTTTTATACTTTCGTATTCCTTTTCACTATGTTTGCATTGAGTTTTATTTATGTTAGGCTGTTTATTTATCTTTATAAGTATTATGCAGTAGGTCAAGACAAGCTTTTACCAAACATCAACACCAAAGTTTTGTCGACTGAAAATAACTTTTTCCATATCAGAGTGTCCAAAAAACATAAACTTAGCTTTGTATTTGATTTTCTTAAGCCTATGTACGGCGTAAAAATTAGCTCTTAATTATTTAGGGGATATATTTCTCATTTCTCAGAAATCAACGCACTTTAATTCATTTAGTGAGTGCTGGTCATAAATACGGGTAGATCTTGTCTGTATCTTTGACATGTTCAATACAATCACATTAAGTTTTCTAGCCAAAATATTGTTAAAAACCCACAAAATAAAATCAATAGCTTTCCTTTATGACCATACGCGTTGCGGATGTATCAAACAACTGAATTTCTATGCTGAGGACCAGATAGTTAAAAAGTGTTCCGATTTTAAAGTTTAGAAGTAATTGAATTGGGAATATTTAAAATGTCAATTTTACATACAAGGTAACAGTGGATTTCGATTGATCTTCTGAAACTTCATCCTTCTAATGTCGTACCTTTCATTTCATTTGAAGAGGCTAGTCCAAGGGATTCGTAAGTTGGCCTCACCGGAAGCCGTGACTGGATTTGGGCGAATAGGTCCTCGGCGCACTGCACTGCGACCCCAATGAATCCTTACTGAGCTTTCATCTCTCATGTGATGGACATCGTCAGGTCAGGGCACCATGCCTTTTTGCCCTCTTGTTTTGGTGAATTATCCTTGAGCAAATGACGGGTGAATGCTCGAAAAGGATTGATCGGGGTCCCAGGGGGATGCGCTGAGGTCCTATTCGCATAAATCTACAGTCACGGCTCCAAGGCAATTCTCCTTGGTTTCAGGTGAGACCAACTTACGAATTCCTTGCACTCGCCTCTTCAAACGTAATGAAAGGTACGTTGACATCAATTTCTCAATAAATTCATTGAAACAGTTTTTCTACATGACATTGTTGTAAGACTTTCATTTCCTGTGAAAGAAGTCATAGGTCGAACTCTTCAGAATACGAAGAATGATTCTCGTTATGCCAAAGCCGTTTGGATTTAATACAACATTCAGGTTGGCGTAGTCCATGATGAACCCTCATTTCCTGCGACAATGGATTAAGCTTTCATTCGCCATTTGACGAAAATCATCATAGCTGGGACTCATTTTTACAAAAGTCTCACGTTAGCTCTAAATCAATAAAACTGACCTACTCTCTTCCACATGATTTATATACTCATGACGATAAAATATTTATGTATAGATGGATATAGAATAGTTTAGTTCTCTTATACTTGAATGTGTGTTTACATTTTAACTTTTTCATTCAATACTGGCCATAAATCAGTCATTAGAAGCTTTATGCCTGCCCCGGGCCATCAAGGCCTAATGAACCCGGGCTTTTTAACTTTATTTCAGCTTTTCGAACAGACCAAAGAACTTGCACTAGCTTATTGCTTAGCTCTAATTTTGGTAAATAACTGCATTGCAAAGTTTAGGGGCGTCTAAAGTAAGAGGTAATTGAATTGAGAATTTTCAAAATGTCAATTCTACATACAAGGTAACAGCGGGTTTCGATTGATCTCCTGGAACTTCATCCTTCTAATGTCATACCTTTCATTTCATTTGAAGAGGCTAGTCCATGGGATTCGATTTAAAAATATGAAGAAGTGGATTTAAAAGAATTTCTTGGAGATATATTACTATGACTGTATATATTTCGAACTAAATTTGGTTGGAAGGAATTCAAGGTATGGTCTAGATAGAAACCGAAGGAGGGTCGCATTAACTTCTGACTGCCAAATTGTTTGATAGATATATGGACCATTATTTTGTGATATGGCTGCATGTTTCCCACTAAGCCAGCGTAAATATATATTAAGTTCACAAGGTAATTAGAAGAGATTCAGGGATTACATTATTTAGATGATATTATGGAAGATAGTAAGTTGAACAGATAATTTTATATAAAACCAACATACCGGTTTTCTTAATATTTTTTCTAATCGTACATGTTTGCATATCATCAATCCAACCAGTTACATTCGGACTAATACAACATCGATAATGCTTTTCCTCTGCCATTAAGCTTTGATGACCCTGGGTAGGTTAG